AGCCCGAGGGGAGCACCTGAGCGAGGGCCACACAACCTGGCAGGCGCCGCTCCCACTCCCGGAGCTGTCCCGGAGCCGTGCGTCTACATGCAGAAAAATCGTAAGATTGTTCTACACTGCACCTACATCCAGAAAAATCAGAAGACTGTTCAGCAACAAGAATTTCTCTGTGCTTACTGGGAAGGCTGCAGAAACAGAGCAGGAGGCAAGGCCTGAGCTGGTGGCAGTGGCTTTGCTCCCGTATCACTCCATCAGCAGGACGCTGGGCATAATTTAAACCCTGGCTCCTGAGGCAGGGAGAAGCTGTCCCCTTCCTGCTCCTTTCCTTGGCAACACGTGACATCTGGGTCAGTCCCTAGTTCATTTCACAGTTATTTTCAGTTATTTTCTATCTCCAATACGACAAAAGCAGCGAGTCGGACTGGAAGATGAGCTCTGCGAATCTGTAAGGGAAGTCCACTGCTTACACAGAGCACGTATCCCTCTGGCACAACTGGAGCTGACGTGTTAGCACAGCACCTTTTCTCCCCCCTCGGTACTCTTCCAAGCCTTGCTGCTAAGCACCACGCGCAGTCCTGTGGATCAGGCGTGTCCTGCTCACAAAGGGCTGCCAAGGATTCTCCTCTTTTCCCCCTGCAAGCTTCAGGAAGCTCAGCTTTGCCTGGTATTTCGTAAGCACACTGTTGTTTGACCAGCATTTGCCTCTGGTTGTACAGGGAAGCTCTGGCAGACAAACGGGACTTGCAGTGTGAGCACAGGGCCGTGGGGCTGCGGCTCGGTGCTGTTCGCAGGCTGCCCGCTTTGGCTGTCCCGGTGTTACCCGGTGAGCTCACCGCCTGGATGCTGCTTCACACTCACTATGCAATAGGAAATAACCCCTGGAACTGGAAGGTGTTCAGGTACCATAGCGACAGGCGCAGTTTGAGAACACAGAGGAGAAAACAGCCTTGCTTAAGGGCTTCAATTAGCTTCCAACTACGATGATTACAACATTTCCTAGGGGGCAAGGAATCCTTCAAAGAGAATTAAATCAAAACACCCAGCTGCACCGGAGTCCTGGCTACAAACTGCGTCTGCAGTCCTCTGCTCCCAGCTCTGCTCCCCGGCCGCCCCAGCAGCACCTTCCCCATGCAGTGAGCACGCTGCGGCCCCCGCGTGCTGCTCGCCGAGGGACGGCCTCGGCCGGCTGCTCTCTGACCCCGCCATGGGCACCCGGGCACTGCTCCCCACAAGCAGACCCCAGCATCTTCCTTCCTCCCGCTGCGTTTTTCCCATGGCACTTGAGGACCTAGGGGAGCTTTCGGGAGGCCTGCAGCACCGTGCCTCCTGCTTTGCAGGCAGGACGGCGAGGCACAAGGGGCAGGTGGCTTGCACAAGCACGCACTTTGGCACAGGCACGGAGCCCAAGCCACCGCCACCTGCAGGGGACAAAACTCCCTCAGCCGAAAGCCACAGAGCTGGTCTGCACCACAACAGCCTGCACTGCCTAAAACCGAATCGCCATTTAAAAGGATTATTAACTTCCAGCTGTGTTCAGCCTAATTTCCTTTGTGCAACAGTGTGCTTAATTGCAGAGATTCTAATTTACTCTTGTAGAGCGCAGACCCAGCTCGAAGGATAAATTAGAATGACGGCTCCATGGGAAGTTTGGAATTTAACTTCTTGACTTATCTGATTTGATGCAGATACAAATGTTCAAACCCGGCCAAGGAAACAAACAGCCTGTTTCTAAGAAGTTCCAGCTGGAATGGGGAAAAAGGATTTCATAGGAAGAGAGGCTGCAGCAGTCAGTGCACTCTCCTACTCCTGCGGGCACAGCTCATCAGCCAGGCAGAGCCTCAGGGCTGGCATGCTGCACTCCTCCTGTGGAAGGCTTTTTTTTCTTTTGTGAACAAACACTTTGCCATGTTGCATCTTGATTTCTAAACCCCTTTTGTACAATCCCATGTTCTCCTCACAGGAGAGAGGCCAGCACCAAGCCTGTCAGTGGGACGTGCAGGCTCGGCGCGGCACTGGCGGTACCCTGTGGGTGCCTGCAGAAAGCTGGAAGGCTGCAGAGGCTGAGACGGAGACACTCCACGTGTGGGGGTGCTAGCTCCGTGTTCCTGCTGCCAGGAATAGACGGTTTCCTTTGTTTCCTCTTGTAACCGGCTCCTGTCTGCAGAGGAGGCTGGGATTCACCTCGCCCAGCCCTACAGCGAGGTGCTGCCCGCGGCCCCACCGCTGCTCTGCACACGCCAGGGGTGGCACCTCCTCCGCTCAGCCCCCGGGGACGCTCAGCTGGTGCTGGGGGCAGCCCCCCGAGGGGCAGGCGCTGCCAGCAGCACTGCACGGAGCTCACGCAGGCGGCGGCTCGGCCATGCCCAGGGCCCGTGGGTGCTGCGGGTGGGCAGCCCGGGGCCACCATCAGTGCGCTGCGCACATGGCCGGGGTGCTGGAGGCCAGGGAGCTCCTGGCCGGGAAGGAAGGAAGGAGGGAGGGCGGGCCAGGACGGATGGAGTCAGCACAACCTTCCTCGCCATCGCCGTGCAGGCCAGGCTCTGTCTCCTGCCTCCACCCACCGGCCGCAGCGGGCCCTGTGCTGGCCCTGACCTGGTTCTCCAGCCGTGCCCCGCTGCGGGTCCGAGGCCACTCTGGTTTGCGGTGTCTGCGCAGCCTCCCGGCGAGGCAGCTGGCAGCAAGCCCGTGGCCTTCTGCCCCAGCACTTCAGGGCCAGCTCTTTGCTGAGGCACGCGCTTCCCACATGGCGCACAGCTCCCCTCCAGCCCCCTCTGCCAGCCCAGGGGCAGCAAGTGCCCAGAGCCAGGGCTGGGCGAGGGCAGCTCAGAATTTCCCCTTCCCTTTCTTGTTATGAAATTCAAAGCAGCTTATGAGGAACGCACATTGACTCTCCAGCAGAATAAATAACTCCTAACCTAACCTGTCAGCAGCAATTACGCACCAGTGAACCACAGCAGTCACCAGACATGTTTTCTGCATCTTTACACCTCCCTCAAACCCCAAGTGGAAACGCTGCACGGGCCCAGAGCACCAGCACTGCGTCTTCGTGTCCCTCCGAGCCCTACCTGCAGCTGCTCACCTGAGGGCAAATGCCTTGGGGCCAGAGCTCCCTTCACCTGTGCAAAGCTCCAGGGGTGAGCAGAGGGGCAGATAGCCCTGTGCCAAACACACAGATTTGATAGAAGTAAAACCAAAACCAACCAACCAAGCCTGCCTCGTTTGCCCTTTGCTATTTGCAGGTGGCAAAACCAGAGAGCCAGAAGTGGGCCACAGGATCCACGCTGGTGATGGCAGTTCAGAGGTGGCACTGAACTGCATCCCATGTGGTAGAAACTGAAATGTTTTTCTGAATCCATGGGCACATGGTGGACCATCAAAAAGTAGTTTATGCTTCCTAAGAAAACACAACAAGAGCTCCATTCCCAGCAATTTACAGAGCTGGCTGTACACACACACGTAGGGAGCACAGAAGTGCCTTGCATCAGAGTCAACGGATTTCACAATGGATCTAGAGGGAAGGAGAAAAAGAATCGGCCACCCCCACCCACAGCCTCAAGGAGCATTTTAAGCTGTCTCGTAAAAGCACAAAAATTTTGCCAGAGAGCAGTGCCTGCTCACGGACAGACCTGCACTTGCATCAGTATTCACAGAGCGTCAGCAGGCGAGGAACAGCTCTGTGCGTGGCATCACGACTGGACTCGAGTCCCAAGTGCAAGAACAGGCGATGCGATCACTCCATCTCCGTTAGCGCTAATGAGAGCTCATCTCCTCGCTGACACCAGGCTGCCCGAAATCAAATGGAATGCTCTTATCTTCTCTGATGCCTATTAACCATAACACAACCACATCTCCAGAAGTGACCTTTTTAAACAACACAGATTTTTCTTTTTGTTTGCTACTCTCTAGTGGCCGGGTCCCATTACAATCTGGTCTCCATGCCCCAGCCAAAGGCTCTGCAAGGGACGTCAGGGGTTAAGGCCACTGAGAAGGGGCGAGCTGGCCCGATTCTCACAGTCAGCGAGCACCTAGTGATGCTCCACAGAAAAGCTACGGTGAGCAGCGAGTGCCCAGTACCTCTGATGTACAGTTAAAATGGCATCTGAGAGATACTGAGAAATACGGGAAGAAAGAGAAGAAAGCAGACAACACAGCACTGTGGAAAGCCCACCTGTGAGCAGTCCTCAGCACCCTTTATTCCAGCCAAAATGCTGGAGGTCTACTGGCTGTCTTCACTTGCAAGAGAGTGCTATGAATTTAGCAAATTTTCCATTTTCTAGAATGAGATTGATTGCATTACATGCTACTGGCTTCACAATCACGGAGGACACCTCTAAGAACTACTTCTGGGCACCTATTAACCATTCTCCCACACAATCAACATGGGAAACGTACTGGGTAAGAACAATGCAATGGACAAAGCCAGCTGACGAGACTGCCGACCGTGTCAGTATGACAAAAACAATTAAGCAAACGTTAACACTTCACTTAACCCTAAACTCCAGTCTTTCCCTGCCTCCACGTAAGTGACAGGCACTGACACCTCCATCTCATCAAAAATGAGACATTCAGAACCAGCCTGCCTGTTCTGGCTAAGCAAACAGAAAACCTCCCCAAATCACATGGATTAAAATTCCCCAAGTAAAAAAGTAGCAGCATATACTGGAGTAGATGTCCCTTTTTAGGGTCGTCCAGATTATCTGTCACAGCAGGGTGAAAGCCACCCGGTCCATCACTACTGCTGGTACTGATGACTTACAGTGAGGTAAGATTTCAAGTACAAGGAGACTGCATGAAGCAAGCATTCCTAGAAGACCTACAAGTCCTGGAAATCTGGAGCTTACGTGACTACGCTTGCATGGGGGTAGAGCAGGGCGGGTTCACTTTTCTCCTTTTCACTACAGGAAGCAGATATTTAGCTCGGTTTAAGGCAGGTCAGCACTGCCTCTCTCTGTTTCAGCACGGCCAACAGTAAGCAGCAGCCACCCGAACGCCATCGGTACCTGGATGTATCGCAAGGCACTCCTTAGGACGCTGAGGTTTGAGGTCTTCTTGTCGTCGACGTTGGGGATGTTGCGTTTTAATGTCTCAAAGCATTCTTTCAAATGCGCACGTCTAAAGAAAACACAGGTGGTTTGTCAGCTTGTGAGCACACACCAGAAATCAATTTCACAGAGGGCTAAAGCTTAATTTGGGCCTTAATCCAGCAAAGCACTTACACATGTGCATAGCAGTCACCGGGACTACCTGCGTGCTTAACGCTGCACCCCCTCAATCCAGCAGACAGGCTTTGGGCTGTGCCTTGTGTGGCTCGGATTCTCGTCCTAGCTTTGGCAGGAAACCATCGTGCGATCTTAAATAAAATATCACGTCTCCCTGGGCTGTTCTCTTCACTCGCGCCACATTTCTGATTTGGCTATTTAGGCTACAGGAGCGTCAGAGCAGGGACTGGTCTTTATTCTGTATTCTGGCTGCACACGTGTTAGTTTGTTACTTCAAATCAAGTAAGAAATCACACCGTTATGCACGTGGGGATTTACTTTGCGGGATCAGGGCTTTGCAGGGTTATTGTAATGCAATTATGCAGCTAAATAAAACATACTGGGAAGCAAGAGATGCAGAATTGAGCTATAAGAAAGCAAAGCAATATTGCGAGATTCATTAAAAGTAACTAAGAATTTTGTTCAAGTCATTTGTTAAAAACAAAAGCAAAAAACCCAAGCCAAACAAATATTGACAGACTATAGGCCAAAAAATAAGTAAAAAGTGAAAGGGAATTATAATCGAAAAAAAGCAAAACCCTGGCTTTCTACGCACCTGTTCTTCTCCAATTTATTATGTACTTCCCTGGTCCCAACCCTGTAACCCAAACAGAACAAAGATAAACTCAGTGTCAGGTTTAAAACTATTGCCATTCAACCTCTACGTTCAGCAGCGTGTGTGTCTAGGATACGGAGGCAAATATTAACGAGCAATAGAGTTGTTGAGCTATCACTGCTTTCTTTGCATACATAATCTACCTGTACTCTATCGAGATAAACCCCATACTCCGCATGCATTTAGATGGGCTGAGCATCACCCACAGGCTGCACACAAGCTCCAAGGAGGGACCGGGGCAACGCGTCTGTGTGCACGCAGACAGGGCCACTGCCAGCTACAGGAGGAGACCCCAGGTCTGAGTTGGGTGTGTTTGTGCAGCCCTGGATTGCCCAGATTCTGACCCATTTCTGAGCTACGCCTACACTCCAGCGGGGTGAGATTTATGCGGTTGCAAATTAAAGTACACATGACTTGGCAGACATACTTCAAACCTCTTTCATTTTTATTGTGCCTGAAATAACACAGCCAAACACAAGTATGAAGTGAAGTAATCCAGGAATCCTCCAGGCCCTGCTGAAGGGAAACCAGGGTCGGCTTCTGCTCCCGGGGGGCTCTGGTCTGTCCCTACCTCCCCAGGTCACGGGAGAACTTCGAGGAAAGGCCAAATCCACATTACCTTAGTTCTGCAGCTACAGTGGTGGTAAAGCACACGAGCAGGCTCGTGGGGAGTTTGATACCCTCCTGACAGTACGCAAAGTGATTATTTGCTTTTGGTGCTTTTGGTTGAAAACGCACCGGCAGCGAGGTGAGCGTTGCAGGAGGTGGGTTAATATTTAATAACTGCTCGGGAGTTTAAAAATAAATATTTGACAGCCTTTTCCCATGAAACATTCACAAGCTGGAAAAAGCGCCTTCCCAGTGCTTACACCCAGAATAGCTCCTCTCTGGGGAGCGGGAGATGCCGCGCACCCCCGGCACAGCGCTGGCAGCGACCCCGCGGGGCGAGGGCTGCCCCAGCTGGGGGCACGGCACCCCCCAGGCCCCGCTCACCCTGCCCACAGCACGCGGCCGAGCGCCAGCCCCGCAGCCGAGCGGTTTACAGACAGGGGCTGCAGATCGCCAGCTCTCTGCGAGGAGCCGCGTTGGCATTTTACCAAGGCTTTTATCTTTGCGAGGTTCTGTCTGCGTTATTTCCACCGCCTCAGGCGGTGCCACCCCACGGCTCGTGCTCCTCCTGCGCTGCCTCACAGGGGATGGGAGCGAACACGGGGCACCCAGGGGAAGGAAGCGAGCTGCCACGTCCCAGCCCGCTGCCACACGCCCAGTGCTCAGCTCCAGCGGGCAGGGGGCAAGCAGCAAGGCCAGATTTTGACCTGGCCGGAACATCTCTCCCGAGCAGGAGGCTTCGGACAGGGGACTGCACTTTGCCCAGCTCCCACCGGCACCAGTTCGGGTGGGGAAGACCAGAGACGAGAAGCAGCTTGAGCCCTGCCCAGCAGGATGAGCTGGGCACTGCGGCCTGGCTGGGCAGGAGGGGGCACCGGGCCCCAGCACCTCCTCTGGACCCCTGAGCACAGCCCCGCTGCCTGGCCCCGGCCCCAAGGCAGGGCACAGCACGGAGCTGTGTCCCTGCAGGGATAGCCCCCCCCTGGTCTGGGCAGTCCCAGAGAAACACCATCAGCTGCAGGCAGCGTGGTGATGCTCAGAGGTCTGGTAACAGGCCCAGAAGAAAGACCGAAGAGATCCAGGTCATTTATCCTGCAGAAAGGAAGACTGCAGGGGGCAAAGGAAAGCAGTAAAAGGTTGCTACAAAGAGGAAGGGAATCAATTCCTCTCCCAGTCCACTGGAAATAGCACAAGAAATAACAGCAGGCTACGTCCTAGCACGCTGTGCTCTGGAGCCAAAGTCCTTAGGAGCAAGGTGGACGCTGCCCAGGAGCAGCAGAGTCACAAGCCCTGTCTGAGGGTGGAGACGGAGTAAACAGCCTCGAGTCCCTTCCAGCTCCAGGAGGCCCTCGGCAACTCCTCTGATCTCTGTCCTGGGAGACAACTTCCCAGAGCACAGTCCAGTGTTCAACCACGTTCCTGCAAGGGCTGCTGCACGACCTCCCTGCGCACCACCAGCAGAGCCCAAAGCCCATCAGCAGCTGCTGCCTGAGGGCGGGCAGCGCTGGGCCTTGCTTCCTGACACGCTCCTGGCTTGGGGGAAAAACAAAACCAAAAAAACCTTGTATATTCTAGTCGGGGGGGGACTGAAAGACACCGAGCTAAGGAACTGTGCAATCAAAAAAAACAAAGAGCCCCCCAAACATGCCTGGACCTCGGTGTTTCTGACTGGCAGCTCTTTACAAAGCAGCAGCTGCTCAGGGGCGCGGCGGTGCTCGGGCCCCGCCGCCTGCCCCTGCCCGGTCACACACTCACCCTCCGGGCCGCTTCTTCTGCTCGTTCGGTTTCACGTCCTCCGCTGGAGCCAGCTTCAGGGCGCCGAGCTGCGGGGCGGCTCCCGGGTGCTGCAGGGGCTGGGGCTGGATGGGCTGCTGAACCACATGGTGCTGCGAGATGGCCAGGACGGGCGCCGCGTAGTGCTGGAGCTGCTTGGGGCTGCCCGACGGCGGGGTGGCGGCCTTGCCGTCTGCCAGCAGCGGGCCCGGCGGCCGCTGGATGACCGGAGCCACCGCGGGCACCTCCTTGGTGACGCCCGGAGTGCTTACGAGGGGCTGGTGGCGCTGCGCGAGCGGTGGGGACAGTGCGGCCTGGGCTGCCGGCTGCGGGGGGCTGGCGACCACCGGGATGGGGATGACGGAGATGGGGGCTGCCAGCGGCGGGGGCGGCGGCGGGGCCGGGGCGGGGGGCGAGATGGGCAGCAGCAGCTCGCCCCGCGGCTCCTCCAGGGGGACGGCATGGTTGGCCCGCGGCGCGCTGGCCTTCCGCTGCTCCTGCTCTCGCTCCAGGCGGAGCTTCTCGTGCTTCTCATTCTCGTCTGGAAGAGAAAGGGGACACCGCCAGTGAGTACGGTAACGGGACTCCCCGCCACGGCGTCTCCCACCCCACATCTCCCCCCGCAGCCTCTTTCAGCACCGAGCCGAGGCCTTGCCCCGGGCACACCTCACAGCAGCTGCAGGAGCCGGGCTCAGCCCCGCGCTCCGGCCATGCCTCACTTCCCTCCCACGTCCCTTTTGCTTCAGCACACGTCTTACACACCCCACAGGTTCTGCCCCCGAATTTGGCCCTCAGAGCGATCGACCGGGCTGCCTCCTGCCTGCCCTGCTACTGGCAGGCAGAAAGGAGCTGGGCGCCCCACCGCCACCTCCTCGCCCCACCCCAGCACCAAGGCACACGGCCAGCGCCAGCCGATTCTCCGTCCCGAGGCCTGAACGCCCAAATCGCGATGCAAGAGGAAAAATGAGCACGCCAAGCAAGACCCCAGAGCCCTGAGAGACGGCCTGCCTGCGGCACAGGAGGGCACGCTGAGGAGCCCCAGGCAGCACCTCCACCTGGCCCCCCCTCGGTTCTGGGGTGTGAGCAGAAATCTGTAGTGCCGGTACTGACAACATCAGAGAGAATTTATTTTATTCCACGCTTCTCCCCAACAGCCCGTACAGTTGCAAAATGGGGAGAACAGGGAGAAAAAGGAAGCGATGCCCATGGGAGCTGGGCTCAGCCCCCATCCCCGCAGGACGGCTGCAGCCCCCGGCACCGCTCCCTCCGACCCCCCGCCCGGAGCCCCCGCTCACGTCTGGGTCCGAACGGCACAGGGCAAACCCACAGCAAACATCTCAGCTCTTCCTCTTCGGTGCTTACACCCGACCTTCAGCCAAGGAGCCGGCCCTGGCCCTGCCGGCACCACACGGCCGGGGCCGTCCCCTTGCGGGAGGCGAGGCAGGGCCCGGAGCAGGGCCAGGAGCACCCCGGGCACAGAGGCCGGGCCCCGCAGCCACCCCTGGGGCCGGGCGGGCTCCTTGGGCTGCAGCCCCACATCTTGTGCCCTCAGGTGGGCACGGTAACCCCACGGGCCTTCCAGCAATACGAACCCCTGCGGGCGTTTTTGTGCTGCTGTGGACCTGACCGAGGCTCCCAGCCTTCCCTTTGATGTAGCTGTTCCTCGAACACCAGACAAAGTAAATGCAATCTGTGTGGCCCAACTAGCAAAATAAACCTCATTAAACGTGCTCCAGGTCTCCGGCTGTAATTGTGTGAACACGGCACAAACGAAATTTATTTATACAAGTCCTGTGGCGCCAGCGGCCCCGGCCTCCAGACATCTCGCGGCCTTCACCCAGCGCCTCCCCGCGCCCTGCCCACGGAGCTCGGGGCACGCCGCAGAGGGCCAGGAGCTGCAAGAACACCTGGTGGGACACTGACAGCGGGCCCGGGGCCGTCACCTCCTCCTAGGAACGTGCCAAGACTTGGGGGGAAAACCGTGCCTGGCTTCATCGAGCACAGGCCGCGAGAAACAAGGCAGGCGGCGCGCTGTGCTCGCAGGCAGCGGGCAGGGAACGCAAGGACCTCGCGGGCACCTCCTGCAGCTGCCCTCAGCCCAGGTTTCTGCAGCACACCCTGGCACGTCCCCAGCCTTCGTTAAAGCCCTCGGGCCCAGCTCGAGGTACGAGACCGGGACACAGCAGCCGTGAGGCTGTGCTCATGCTGGATGTGTCCTGCACCGGCCCCTGGCAGCCTCACCCAGCACAGCCCATCGGGGCAGGGAGCGTGCCGATGGCAAGGCTTCCCGGGGCATCCACAGGGGCTGGCAGTGAAATTCCTACAACAAACCATTTCTGTTCACTGGGGAAGCCAAGAGAAGAGGAAAGAAAGGTTACGAGCGAGCGTTACTGCTCAGAAATGTTTATGTAAATGTCTCTGCGAAGCAGGTGCAGCCCTCAGGCTGCTGACGAGCTGCCAGCGAGGCCTTTGGTGTTCCAAATCTTGAGCTCCCTTAAGCTAAAGAGTTCATTTCAGGGATTTTGTTAGCCAAAATCTGATGCCAGTGAGCCGCTGCCCCTGCACTTGACTCGTTCACCGGCAAAAGGAGCCCAGCTCTCAGCTCCCTCCTCTGAGGGCGTTTGGGCAGCCCTGGGCAGCCCCCCCCCACCGGCAGCGCTTCCAGGCGCTGGGAAGGTGCCTGCTGCTCGCCTCGCACCCACAGCCTGCAAACAAACCGAAGCCACCGCTCACACAGGGCCCACAGGGCTCTCGATTTGCCCGGCAGTAATTCCCCAGCTTTCCGTCGGAGCCGCAGACCAGGGCGAGGACCGGCAGTGCCGAGAGGGCAGGGGGCGGCTGGGCAGGAGCACACAGAATTCAATGCGATCCCAGCTCCTTCCTGACACTCCCAGCACAGGGACTGGGGACTGAATGGTTCAGGACAGCCCCGCAGCCCCTCGGGGGTCTGAACTGCAGCCGAGACAGGCGAGAGGCTGCGGCCAGAGCTCCCGGGCTGCGCATAGCAGGGCCAGCAGTGCCCGCAGCCATGGGGGAAGCAGCAGCTCTTGTCACAGCAGGGCAAAGAAACAGGGTCAACAGCCCCTGACCGGAGGACCGGTGCTATTTTGGGGCCCTGTGGATCCAGGAATACGCGGTGCCAGGGACTCTTAACTCCGTCATCTAATAATCTGCCAGGTTTAAATTTATCTCCTGCCTTGGCCTGCCCTGGGAACACCTCCCAGCCGTGCATGCAGGCTCCTGGCAGCCACGCGGGGAGCAGCAGCGAGCTGCAGCCCACAGCAGCACGGTGATCTCCAGCAGAATCTGAGCGGCCCCAGTGTGGTTTGGGCTTTGCTGATCTCCGTCAGCAGCTGCCGATGCTGAGCACTCTGACCACAAACACCTCAGGAAGGTCTCTGATGCACGCAGGGGGTGGCTCCTTCCCGCACAGCCCCGCGGTCTGCAGCAGGGAGCAGGAAAAGTCCAAGGAGATCCTGCTGGGTGTCAGCACCAGACCTCAGCCCAACTTTCTGGCAGTACCTGCACAGACACATTTTTGCCATCTGGTGTTCCAGCTCAGCTCCTACATGGAGCCTGCCAGCAGCCAGCACCTCCCCGGCACGCCGCGGGCACTGGAGGCACAGCCAGGGACCCGGGGACAATGCCACAGAGCAGAGCTTTGCTCCTGGGCACGCCTGTGTGTGAGCCAGCGGCGGCTGCCCAAAGAAACACCCGCTCCTGCCAGCTCCTGACGGGAGATTCCCCTGCAGAAAAGGGGAAGAAGTGACTCTGCAGAAGTGAGGGGGAAGCTGAGGAACTGCCGTTCCCCTTCCCACTCGCCCCATCCCCGCGTGCTGCAGCACAAGTCCTTTGATTGCTCGTTATCGAATAAACAAGGTTCCTGCTTCCTCATTCCTACATACAACCGAGGCTGTTCTCTGGGCTGCACTCGTAGGGGAGGCCAGCCACGCTAGAGGAGGCGCAGTCTGACTCAGGGCTGAGTCACTCGGATGGTGCTGACATAAGAGGACACGCCAGGGAACAGCCGTGGCACTTCCAAGTGCCTGGAAACGAGCTGGAGCCCTGACAAAGCCGTGACCCCTTTATCTGGGGCACCTCTGAACCGTGGCTGACAGCAGCAGAACACGAGCCCCGTTCCTCTCTCCCATCTCTGCCAGAACCCCTCCGTTTTCTCACCCCTCTCCCAGCTCCGGAGTCTCGCCGCGAGGACGTGCCCGGCGCTGAGGCACCTGGAGGCTGCCGTGGCGTGGGGAGATCAGCCCGTGCCTCCGCACCTGCCTGCTCCTCCAGCAGCCACACGCAGCTCCCCCAAAACCCCCCTCCCTTCAGCAAGCCCCCCCCAAGCTGCTGCTGGGTCTCAGCCCCGACCCAGTGCCCCATTTTCCTGCCCACCAACAGAGGCTGGCGCGCGAGCCCTGCGCTCCTCCAGGAAGACCAGGTCACATTTAAAGTGTGCTACTGGCAAAGGACTCAGGAGCTGGCAGTGTACTCCTGGGGAGCGAGAGCTCACCGGCCCTGCTGGGATTTCAATTCTGGGGCTGTTACATTTGGTACCACTCGTGGTGTAAGCAGTTCCCGGTTCCAGGCCCACCTGTGGCTGACCGGCGAGCCGCCGCGGCGCGCTGACACCGCACGCTCCCCAGGCCTTATCTGCAGGAGGCGTCACCGTCCAGTGGTGCCAACAGAAAGCCTTTGGTCTGCATTTTCTCAGGCAGAGGGTTATGACACATTTATGCCCTACCTGTAAGAGCAAAGGAAAACCGGCCTTCCTATCAACCACCCCTCCTCAGCACCACCAGCACGGCCCATCGGTGCTTTCAGTGCCATGGGTTTAGCTCTGAAAATCACAGGGACCCCGGTCCCCAAGCCTGAGATAGGTTAGAGAAATGACAAGACGACCCTGGTAAGGGAACGCGGGGAGCAGGCGTGCTTCACTCCTACTTCACCGAGACAGAGGGCTTCCCAAGCAGCCAGCACTTCCCCCCACCAAACCCACCGAGGCTCCCGAACACGGGAAGGGCGGCTGGAAAGACCCCCAAGAAATCTCCTGGTTCACCATCCAAGCCCCCGCAAAGAATCGGCCATAACCAAGTAACACCTCACGGATGTTTCCCAACACAACAACCACCCAGGTCTCTATGGATAATTTATCTCACGCCTTGGTTTGCTATTCCAGTGCCCAACTCCAGCCCTGATTCAGCCCTGGGCGGTCATTTTAGCCGTGTTTTAGTTGCAACTAACTCCTGGTGGGAAGGAGAAATAAAGCCGGCGCGCTGAGCAGAGCCCCACTGCTGTCTCACTGCTGCCCTGTGGCACTGGGGCAGGCACGGGCTGGGTGCCCCCACGTCACCACGTCACACACCAAGCCACGGCCAGGCCCGAGCTGCCCGGCACTTCCCAGCTGTTCAGGACGTGCCCCTTGGGGACAGGAGCTCCCGCATCAGCCCTGGGCCCTGCGACCACCGCCCACCGCTGTGCTCTGTGCCACGGCCGCACCGGGGGTGCCTCCACTGGAGCTGGCAGCAGCCGGCTCCCCTCGGGGCAAGGCACGGACCCCAGGCACCGCCCGGATCCCAGCTCCGTAACACAACGAGCAGAACCCGCGGGCCCCCCACGGCGCTTGTTGCCCCCCTGCGTGTCCGTAAGCACGGGGAGGGCAGGACCAGGCCAGGAGCCGAGGGGCCGCGGCCTGGGCAGCTCCGCGGCTCCCCTCAGCCCGCAGCGCGCTGTGCCCCGAGGGCTGGGAGCCGCTGCGGCTCCGGGCACCCAGCGGGGCCCGGGGGGGGGGGGGTCCCGGGGTCTCCGCGCGGTTCCCGCCCCGGCCCCGCCCCCTCGGCGCCCCCCACGTGACCCGGCGGCACGAGGCCCGCGGGAAGGGGCGGGGCCGGCCCCGCGCGCACGTGGAGGGGGGCGGGGCCTGCGGCGTCACGCAGCGGCCGCGCGCCCGGCGGGAGGGGAGGGGCGGGGAGGGGCGGGGGCGGCCCCGCGTGCTCCCCCCCCCCCCTCGGTGCCCCCCCCCCTTCCCGCTACCCCCCTCCCCCCCCCCCCCCGCCGCCCCCCGTCCCGGTGCCGCTGTCCCCTGTCGCCGCCTCACCACGTGCGTCCCGCTGCTGCTGCTGCGCCTGCCACTCGAGGAAGCGCGCGGCCTCCAGCAGCGTCTCGATGCTCATGGCGCGGACCCGGCCGCCGCCGCCGCCGCCCGCCCGCTCCTCGGCCCGGCCGCAGGCGCCGCGCCGCCCCCGCGGCTCAGCCCCGCCGGCAGCAGCGCTGGCGACAAGATGGCGGGCGGCAACAGCAACACAACGGGCGGGCGCTGCCGCGGCCCCGCTACTACGCGCCGGGCGCCCGCAAAACGCGGCGCGGATCCCAGGCTCCGCCCGGAGCGGGGCGGCGGGGCGGGGCGCGGGCGGCGGGCGGGGCGCGGGCCCGGCGGCGGCGGCGGCGAGGGGGCGGCGGGGGCCGGGCCCCGGGAAGGGAGGGGGGGGGCGGGGGGCGGCGGCGCGGGGGCGGCGGCGGGGCCGGGCGGGGCGGGGCGGGGCCGGTCCTTGCGGCGGGCGGATCCGTGCCGGGCTTTGCGGGCCGCCCTCCCCCCGCAGTGCGCCGGCGGCACGCGGCGAGCTGTCAGCGCGGCGGCAGCCAATGGGCGCGCAGCACAACACGGCGTGCTGCACCGCCACATGGGCGCCCCGCGCCGCCGCCGCCCGCCTTAAAGGGGCCGCGCCGCGCCCCGCCCCGCGCCCTGCCCGGCCCGCGGCGGGCACAGAGCGGGGCCGCGGGGGAAATCGCGGCCGGGCCGGGCTGGGGGCAGGGGGCGGCTCGCAGCCCCGCTCCGCTCCGTGCCACAGCCCCGCAGGTCCCTGCCCTCAGCACTGCTCCGTCCCTTCACCGCCACCGCCCCGCAAACCCAACAGCCTCAGAACGAACCCGCCCGCAGCGCCAGAGCAGCTCCCTGGGAGCAGCAGCCGGGCTCTGAGGGCTCTGAGGGCTCTGAGGGGCGGGCACCCAGAGCACAGCCCTGGCAGGGACATGGCGGAGCCTTCACACAGCCGGGGCTGTGCTGGCTGCCCCAGGAGCTTCCCTGCTGGCTGCCCGCGAACACCTCGTGCAACGCGGCCACATCCACAGGGAGCTGATGTGCTGGAACCCTGAGCTCAGCGGTGCTCGCTGCGGGGCTGGCTCCTGCCTGTGGCAGCTGGAAGCACAAACCAGTGCCATCAAACATTCCTCTCGGAGTGACGTCTCCTGATTAAACTCATTTATTGGAGCTTTTGGAGCCACCCGATGCAGCAGCTTGGGAGCGCGGCCAAACGCCACCAGCTGCGTGTCCGCCTGCCTCTGCAGGACGGCGCTGGGGAAGGGTTTCGCGGAGTCCTTTGGCCCTGTTAGCGGGGACAGCAGCAAAGCAGCACGCTGGGATCGTTTGGATTGACTCCGTGAACGCTCAGGGAGAGTTTTCAAAGGTCCAACTTCTACCCCGCGACGCCCCACGGCCGTGTGCAGCAGCACGTGGGGCTCCGGGCTGCCCCCCAGCAGGGCCGCGGTGAGCTGTCCGCTCGGGCGGCCTCCCCGCAGGCTGCACGGCCTCACGGCCCTGCTCCGGGTCACTCTGCTCCTCCCTGCCGGGCTGCTCCTGGACACAACGCGCGGGCAGGAAATACTCACAGGCTGCAGGAGCCCCCCCAGAGCCACCGAGGTCCTGCTGCGCAGCCTGTGGCACCACGGCTCCTCCAGGGCCTCTGCGGCTCTGCTGGGCTTTGGGAGCCACAGCCACCCCCCAACAGGGACAGAGGCGCTCCCCAGTGCCCCTCCACAGTGCTGATACTTTCAGTCAAATCCTTCGACTCTTGTTTTTTCTCATCTTCAAAGCTCAGCTGTAATTCACAAAATGAGAGTTTCAAGCTCTCTTCAGGAGTTCCCTTCAGAAGTGTATGTGGTTTGAGAATGCTGGGAATTCTTCTCCGTTTAGTATTTTCTATTTAGTCAGTCCTTTAGAAAATAGTGGGTAGCATTCAGGTGGTACGGATATTAATATCCGGTAATCCAGCAGTAGAAAGTTTAAAATCAATGGAGTTGAGCATGAATGAAAACTCTTCCCATAGCCTTTATTCCCATGTTCTTTACTGTCAGGGTTATTGATGGCATTATATCATCTGAATGGCTCTCTTTTCATTTAGATATGTTTATGATCATGATATTCATACATTGACAATCCAGGGAGAACAAGCAGTGGTTGCAGGCCCCGCTGCCCTTCCTTATGGCCACTCTTCCCCAGGATGACCCTGTCTTACAGTGCCACCTGTACACAGGACGCCACGAGATCTCCTCCTGTCCCAAACGTCGTACGCCGTGCTGGGGATATGCCGGTTGTTTAAAGCACAACCTCAGCTCTGGAGGAACAACCGCTACACAGCCGAAGCCTTGACCGTCTCCGTCTTCCTGTTACTCTGCTTATTTCGTTTCTGCCTGCACAGCAAACAGCTTCTCCGTGCACGAAACCATCCTCCAAATTTCGGCCCCACGTGACCGCTGGTGCAGTCAGCTTGCTCGCAGTGCTCACCACCAAGACTTCCCCTGGCTCAGAAGTTACTCGCTGCATTTCCTGGCGGGAGGCGCCTGGAGCAGGAGGCGGCGCGGGGATGCGAGAGCAGCTGGGGGGTGTTTGTGCTGCTGGCACGAGGGGGCTGAGGAGCGGCCCCAACCCACACCTCTGTGCCTGGTGCTCCCGTCCCGACCCTCACTGCCCCTCGGCAGCTGGGGACAGGCCACCAAGTCCCTGCGGTCACAGAGGGGCGTCTGCTCCGCAGGCTTCACATGGTGATTTCGTGGGTTTTGTCTCATCGGGAAGGTTTATGGAACATCCCATCCTAGCTGTGCCTGTTGGCAGAAAATAATGCCTGAGTGGGAGCTTTTTACTGCCACGATGAAGTCGTATCCCAGCCAAGATGACTTTTCTTTAATTTGAAATATAGCTGGCTTTAGAGCATTTGGGTAATGTAAGCTCGTTAAACGTCTTTTTAAACCCTAGCTAAATTGCTTTCTAAAGTTAAATAATCTTCGCTATTCACACTATTTCTAAACTTCCCTAAGAAGCTGTGAGCAGCTCAGATAACAGACCTTATGCCACTTCAGCTCAAAGCTCACGTTCTCAGGTTCTCTGTTGTCTACCACTAGTCTCCCTCGTTTTAACACTATTTGTTCTCACACACTTGTCTGTTATTCAGCTCTGCATCCTGCTGAGTGGGGAGTGACCCTGAGCGCCAGTGGCAGTGCCTGGACTCAGCTCTGCTTTCTGTACTCCAGACCCTGAACCCTCATCACCTGCCCGGCTTGGGACCTGCGGCTCTGCTCAGTGCCCGTGAATCTGCTGTGCTCTGCTCCTCCCCTGCACTGAGAGAACAGCCTCACTTTGGGCCTCTGAATAATCCTTCTGGGGTCAGTGCTGCTGGAAGTTGTATTGTCTGTTAAACACTTTGTTCCTCAGGTCCCAAATTATCACTGAACATAAACGATTACACAAGTCTTTTTTCTCCTTTTTTCGGGATTCACACTGGGTAAGAACCTACACCAACCACACTCACATGGAAGTTGGAGTTTATCTCAATATTTTCATTCTGAAATTTGTGTTAAACAGAAAAAAAACACAAGGGTGAAAATGATCAGGCTGGAAACCTCCCCGCTGCTGTGTGCAGGGCGCAGACACGGTCTGTCCGTCCCCGACATGCCACCCTCGGGCAGCGCGGGGAAGTGCCGGCACCGGCTTCGCAGCGTCTCGGAAACCCTCCAGGCTTCTCTGGGCTTTACCCAGTCATCTCCGTCCTGTGTCCAGTAACTCTGGCAAGGCATAAGGACAGCCTATACTATGCTACGGCACACCTTCCAAAAAATCTCTAGCTGTGAGCTGGAAATATCACAAGCAGAAGTCTGCGTGTCTGCAGGTAACTCGTCCCCGTGGTTAATTACCTGCTGCCACAAAGAGCTGTGCTTCACTTTCCCTTGGAAGATGACTGAGTTCAGCTTCCAGCCGCTTGGTCTTGCTGCAGCGATCTCTGCTGGCTCAGGGACTGCTCAGGACCTCCCCTGTTCCTCCCCCAGAAACTTCCGATATTTTGCAATGTCTTGCGGTCTTCTGGGAAACCAAACGGGCTGACTCGCTGGCTGCAGAGTGTATTAATACGAAGCCTCCAGAAGCATCACAGGTAGTGTTTTTTCACTCAATTTTTAACCCACTCCTGTGGACACCAAAGCTCTATACAACATATTAATGTCAATCACATCAATACCATGTACATTAGCCGAATCTCTTACTGCTGCACCAGCCTTACATACACGCAGCCAGCCCTTTGTATGGCTTGCTGCAGCACCGCAGGGACATCATCCCTACAAGCTCCCTTTCTGGCTACTTTCTCCCTAACACCATTCAATCCCAGTAAGAAATGGGGATGCAAGAGTCTGGGCGAGTGAATCTCATCCGCCTGGCCATGGAGAGGGGTGTGTAAGCGTAAACAAGTCTGGATTTGCTGAGCGAGGTGCCAGTGCCCAGCCAGCGAGTGCCGCTCATTTGGAGGGGACACGGGGTGTTCTTCACAGCTCACACGGCCGAGCCCCGCGTTGTGTTCTATTAGCCGCAGGGCCCCGACTGCCACCTCCATCGCGCAGCCGCGCCGGGCAGCGGTCTCCAAGCGTGGGTGTTGGTAACGCTGGGGTGTTGGTAATGCTGGGGGTGTTGGTAACGCTGGGGGTAAGCAGGCGTGGCTGAGGCAGGATGCGAGGAGCCACCAGCAGCCATCTATCTGCAGCGCCGAACAATCACTGTCAATAACCCCACCACAAATGTCAGCCTCTGACACGGTGTCAATATCGCATTGTGGGAGGATAATGCACCGTCTTGGCAAAGGCCAGCGTCAAGACCCGTTTGCTAGCCAGCATTGTGTGATCAGAACCCCGGGGTTTTTCATATATCGTCAGTCATTTGATGGATGGAAGCCGGTGCATTGAGGTGAGATCATTACGGTGCTGCTGAATGGCGGCGTCTGGAGTTCAGAGCAGCGCTTCCCAGACATCAGGCTGGGCTCTCCGGGGAGGCTGTGACCTCCAAGGGATGCAGGAACTGGGCTGGAGAAAATGGGAGGAAAAATATTTGCTGCTCCCTGCATGTTCATTTGCTGAGGACTCAGCAAAAGACCACTTAATAGATGCTTCTGGTTTTTGATGATTTAACCAAAGCTGACCCAGCACCAGAGCACAGTCAACACATCCTGGCCCGCTTTGCTGCAGCCGATAAAGAGGAAAAGTATTAAAAATATAATGAAGTTGTAACAGAAATTACACACCTAGCATCAATGTCTGTCCATGACTTAAAGCCATACAGGAGTGTGTTAAGCTCTTCAGAGACAAAGTCTCTGCACAACAATAGCGCAAACAGTCAGATAATTTATGTACAGGCTATTTTATATTTAAATATATTCTGTAATACACAGGTATGGAGAATGAAGTTTCTGAAGAGCTCAACCCAATCCGATTTGATAAAAGTTCTGAAAAGGGATTTTATTTAGATTTATGATCAACATCTGCGCCGTTCATAAAAATACATTTTCCCTTTCTGTCTGGATGTGCTCATGCTTGTATTGAACATTTGTATACCATGATATATGGCCATGTTAAAATGGGACGGTAGCAAAAGCAGATTTTAAGGAACAACAGCTCTAAAAATCATCCTTTGTGCTTGTGGTAGGATTACATTATCAGATGCCACAAAATAAAACCACAGTAACATAAAACAATGTCAGAAAATACGCCCCTTTTCAAAAACAGACACTAAAAAGCAAGAGAATTCAGAGTTTGCCTGTGTCTTAAAACTGTTGTCCGGAGCTGTTCTGAGGAGGGCTGAAGCAATCGCACTGCCACGATCCAGTTGAGCAGGCGATGCACCCATTAATTATTCAGCACTCTAAAATCTAAAAATCAATGCTTTACACTGTGTGATCCAGCTTCATGTGACAACCAAAAAGCCCATTAATGAGCAATTCTAGGTTATGTTATATATGGAGTGGTAATTCGTGTCGAGAAAACGGTTGATATTAATAAAGAAGGGGGAGATTTGGGAATGTGGCCATGGGGTTGGAAAGCCCCGTGGTTGAGATAACATTAGACTGTTAACGATGAGGCCATCAGGAATACAAAAGAGTTTAGAGGGAACCAAGAAGGGTGATTCAGGAGACTCCATGCAGTCTGGGGTTTCTTGTTCCCCAGCCATTAAGGCATGGATGTTTCTGGGTGTTTGCTATTGTTATTACATTCAAAGTTGTTTTACTAATGAAAAGTTGTTTTGAAAAGAACTGCTGTGGAGAGAAGGGTGTAAGAGAGGAGCCTGCCCTCAAGGTAAAAAGAAAAAAAGGCAACACGATGTGATGAAGTTCTGTCATCAGTAAGGAAGCAGAGAGAAGGAATGAAAAGGAACAGGCTGGCGGAATGGAGACCAGGACGGGAACAGGCACAGTGATTGCCTCATGAAGATGGGTTCGGCCAGACTCAGCAAACTGCTCGGAGAAGCTCGAGCTGAGAGAAGCGGACCCAGCACACAACTGCCCCTCGCTGGTCAGCAGTTGTGCATTATGGGGAATCATACGTCCTTAGGAACAGAGACTGTCCTGGTCACCTCACAGCTTATTCTCCTTATTAACAATCAGTTTATGAGCCTGAAACATGGGACCAAACTGATTGCAAGGTGTGGGACTCTGCAACTAAAAATGGCAGGGTTGCAGTGGGATTGCTCGGCACCTGGCGAGCAGTCTCTGAGGCCTTAAAGAGCCCTGTGGGGCCACAGTCAGACACGTGTGGCTTACGTCTTGGTGGAGCGCAGACTCCCCGCACACCCAGCGCTGTTTACTTGCCTTTTATACCTTTTAGAAATATTTGTTTTATAAATATTACAAAATTCAGATTGAGTTGAGACCTCATTTATAACAGTTAGGTTTCCCCACAAAGCCCCCAGAACTGAAATTACGAGACAGAGCAGGAGAGACGAGCCCCTGCCTCTCCCCGTCCCGCTCCGGGCCCCGCTGTGCCGGCGGCACCGCGCTGCTCCGTGCTGGCTCCATCCTCGCCCTCCTCCCCCTCGCAGTGTAATTAATAAGGAGCTCTGCATAAAATGCTGACACGAGTCTTTTTAAATGTCCGTACTCCCTGAAGTAGTAATTCTGTTACCGTGCAAGGCCTCGCGTACCTCGCTGTTTCTAAGTTTTAGTGGCATGAAGCAAAGCCAGGGGCAGCGCTGGGCAGTGCCGGCACACGGCGACCTGCAGGACACTGACAGCGGCATCGCTGCCATCAACCTAAATAGCAGCTGCACATAAACAAACAGACCATAATAGATAGTAAATTCATCTGCATTCCCTCCAGGACCGAGCATACGATCAGGGCTTAAATAATTAATGCTCTGGGCTTATGATGTACCTTTCACCCCGGGATCTCAAAGCCCTTTGCAGCGTGCGGGGAAAGATTTTTATTTTGCTGGAGAAAATAGGGTAGAGGAAGATTAACTGATTGGCCAAGGTCATGCTGCCTTAACATTTCCTTTCTGCTTACCATTAACTGGATAGCTGCTACGACCTTGTAAAGCTAAAAGAAGGCTGCGTTTAAAGCTAACAATGTAGAGATAATCTCCCTTAAAGTGTGCCATATGGTTGTGATTAGGCAAACGAAAAGGCTTCAGAACGGCTGGTCCTGCGTGTTCACAGTGTTCTCTGGGGTATGCATGTAATAGCTGAAATTTTCAGCAGAGCCTAGAGAAGTAGATGCAAAACTCCCCCACTAGTTCAACAAAAACTGGTTACTCAGCATCCCTGGGCCCTGAAGACATCAGGCCTGTGGATCTCCGGACGCTTCCCAATCAGAATGCAGTGACACAGCGAGATCGCAGAGGGTCCCTTCCCATAGCACATTTGATCCAGAACACTAGGGATGTCACCACAAAGCCTTAAGGCAAATATTTCAGCATCGACATGTATTTTATCATCACTATGCCTGCGCCCTTCTCCTTCATGGCGCTCCCACCACCTCCTGCTGCTGCAGCCCCGAGGCGCGGTGTTGGGGCAGGCGGCAGGGCTGGGGGAGGCAGCTCGGGGCCACGGCCCTGCTCCTGCTGGCGTGAGCGAGGGAACCCGCGGTGCACGTGCTGCCCCTCCAGCGGGTTTTCAAGGGGAGGAGGATGCTGTAGCATTTAACTGTCTTTTGTCGTCGCCCTAAACTGATTCTGCAAAGCTGCGCGAGCCTCCAGCTCCGCTCAGACGGGCTCCGAGCAATGGGCTACAGAAACGGAGCCACTTGGCTTGGCAGGGAAATAAAACAATCCCTCCTCGCTGCGCAGCTCCCCCAGCAATGAGTCAGGAGGCCTGACGGAACAGAAAACACGAGTTGCCATGGAAACCCTCATGCCTTCCACCAGGAGGAGAAAAAAATGTAGGCCAATATTTCTGCTTAGCTGGCTCCTGTTCTCGGTCTGCTGCTCGGCCCGCCTGGATCCCAGGGCTGCGTTAACAACCCGCGTTTGGTTTGCCCCCCACTAAGAAGCGCCCGTGCCCCCACCGCCTTGGAAAGCTGCTGCTCTGCGTGTGCACAGGTGTGTGCATGCACACAACACACACACACACACACAGCTCCGAGGCCATGCCAAGGGGCCGTTGTGGTGTTGCTGTGACCCAGGACTGGTTCCTGCTGCTGGAGCACCACTGGGCAGCAGCCAGCGGCACCTCCGTCACGGTCACACCGCGGGCACGGCAGGGGGCAGGCAGAGGGTGACGAACGGCAGCTTCACACAGGGTTGCTGTGGCCGCCTCCCATCTACACCATCGCCTCTCCAGAGCAGTTTTTTTTTTTTGCTCTGAGATTAGGAGTGAAATTAGACCAAAGAACAAACGGACCTGCTTCACTCTTTGAGCAGTAGCAGCCTGCAGCAGCACAGAGCCCTCCTGCCACGCTGAGAGTTGCGTGATGTGATGCTGGCACGGGCGTAAACCAAAGCAACGCTCTTATAACAGTGCTGGCGTTGCTGCCTCAGAAAGCATCCATGTAGTACAAGCAGTTACTGGTCTTTTTTTACTTTTTTTTACTGCTTTTTCTCATGGATCTGCAGCGGGAGAGTCAGTAGAGCTCAGGATACCATTCACTGTGTAGGTGTAACAAAAGTAGAACAAAATTTAAG